AGAGAGAGAGAGAGAGAGAGGGAGAGAGGAGAGAGAGAGAGAGAGAGAGAGAAGAGAGAGAGAGAGAGAGAGAGAGAGAGAGAGAGAGAGAAAGAGAAGAGAAAGAGAAAGAGAAAGAGAGAGAGAGAGAGAGAGAGAGAAGAGAGAGAGAGAGAGAGAGAGAGAGAGAGAGAGAGAGAGAGAGAGAGAGAGAGAGAGAGAGAGAGAGATCCTCATATATTTCCGCATTCCCCAATCTCCGCTTTAAACCCAAGTGGGGAAATTACATCACCCAGACCTCCACATACGACGAACAAAAAAATAATATAAAAATAACAAAACAAACAGACACGGAGGATAATGATACGGTGCATGACAAAGAAAATGAAAACGTTGATATGAAAATTACAGTTAGACATGCACGTAAGTCATCGCAAGTCACTACCTTAACCAAACCTTCCCTCCTCTCCACATTCCTCCATATTCGCCACTTCCTTCCACCTCTCCATATTCATCCACTCCCTCCTCTCTCTCCACATCCCTCCATATTCCATCCACTTCACATCCACTATCACCCCGCTCCACATTCATCCACCTCCTCCTCCATCAGCCTCCTTCTCCAGCCACCATCACCTCCTTACATCACCCTCACTTCCAAACCCATCCAGCCACATCCAGCCTCCTCCTCCTCCCACCTCCACCACTCCCCTCCTTTCTCACATCTCCTCCACCTGTTCAACCTCCACCAAACGCCAATACCCACACCCACGCACACCAAACATCCACACCCATCCCCATGTCGATGTGGACACCGACATGACGATATCTTAATCATTATCAACAAACACGCCCTGGACGAACACGTGGGCGGGATCTGTTACCGTTTAGCGGCGCCCACGAGCATTCCGCATCGCACCCACCTGGAAAGAGAGAGGAATATGGGCGTGAGGTTTGCGAGTATCGGTGCGAGAATTAAATTATATTAATCAGTTGATGTGATGACTAGATTAACATAGATATGGATGTATGAATATAAATGTAAATGTAAGTATTTAAACGCATAAATAATCGAATACACAGACACACAACACAAACGTGCGCGCGTACAGAGAACACAACACACACCACACACACACACCCACACACAAGACATCACCGACACAGACACAGCAACATCACCACACACACACACACACACACACCACACACACACCACACACACACAGCACAACACACAAACACATGTCCGAGCATTTTATGTCAAGGATCACACACACACACACACACACAACACACACACACAAGGCCAACGTTCGTGGCGTGTGCGAGCATTGACACACACACACAGCGATGAGTCACGTATGATGTAATGTTTTGAACACAGACACAGTGTCCCTATATTCTACACAATAGCAAGTATGTCGAAACGGTGTTGCCTGAAGAGTCATTAGAAGACGGGTGGCACTATACAATCAGTAACGACCGTGACAGAGTGATTACACACCAGGTATACACAAGTGAGTGTGCAAAGATCATCACAGTTGATACATACACCCCGTCCACATCTATTACGAACATTGTTGCGCGCGGCAGAGCATCGACATTCGAATGTACGGGATATGCGCTTTCGAACTAAATCTTTATGCGTGTGTAAACAATGAAGAATATCAAGAAGCCACGAGTTAGCTATCAACTGATTGGCAATTCGGTTACAATTGAGACGTCGGAGTGTGTGAGTGAGCACGTGCACAGGGCGAGGAGGGGAGAGGGAGAGGGAAGAGAGGGGAGAGGGGAGTGGGGGAGAGGGCGAGGGGGAGAGGAGAGGGAGAGTGGGGGAGAAGTGGTGAGGAGGGGAGATGGGGGGGGAGGGGTGAGAGGGAGGAGGAGGGGAGGAAGGGAAGGGAGTGTAAGGAAGGGAGAAGAATGGGTAGGAGAGGGGGAAAGGGGAAGGAGGGGAGAAGTGAGAAGGAGGGGAGAGTGAGAAGGGGAGAGGGGGAGAGGATGGATGGGGGAGGAGGGGGAGGAGCGAAAGGAAGGAGTGTGAAGGGGAGAAGAATGCGGAGGAGGGTGAAAGGGGGAAGGAGGGGTATAAGTGAGAAGGAGGAGGAGGGGGGAGAGGGAGGGATGTAGGAGGAGGGGGAAAAGGAAGGGGAAGGGAGTGTAGAAGGAGAAATGGGTAGGAGAGTGGAGAGGGGAAGGAGGGGGGAGAGTGATGAGGGGGAGGGGGATGGGGAGGGAGGGGGAGAGCGGGGAAGGGAGTGTAGAAGGGAGAAGAATTGAGTAGGAGCGGTTGGAAAGGGGAAGGAGAGTAGAAAGGGAAGTGAGAGGGATGGGGAGGGGAGACGGAGAGGGAGAAGGGGAATAGGAGAAGGGATGGGGAGGGGAGACGGAGAGGGAGAAGGGGAAGGAGAAGTGGAAAGGGGGAAAAGGCGAAAGAGAAGGGGGAGAGGGAGGAGGATACTGATACTGAACAACTTTATTTGCTTTTAATAAATGTTACAGCTTTCATATACAATTTCGT